TGCGTCAAGGATTCGATCAGTTTCAGTTGAGCTTATATCTTCTTTTGTTGCTGCACTAACGGGTTAAAAATGGTCTGCTGAAAAATTCACTGAAATTTCCGATTTTTCCGTCGTCATTTGTTATGCCTTAAGCCAACAGCTATGACAACAGCTATCTGATTCGCCTTAGTCATCCAATCCGGAGTCGATTTGGCTTTGGGCGTCAAGAACGCACTTGTGGCGTGACGCGGGTTGTTGTGTGGCCTGACGGGTTCCGCCCGCTCCGTCCTAACAGCTACAAACCAAGACATCCACCCCGACCATACTAAGGCTTTCGGATTGTTACCAAGTCATCTGTTGACCGCCACGTGATTTCCTCGAAGTTGGGGGCAATACTTGCGAATAAAGCCTGACGCGGGAGGCAAGAGCTCGGTATGCGCAATGTAATCAGTGAAATCGACTAATCTGAATTCTATATGATAAAGAGCTTTGCGGTAAATCATTCCCAGTGCTATCATCCCGCTAACTCCATTGAAGTTTAGTCAAACTACTTAAATGAACAGATCATGACTTCTATATGAATTGTCTTTGTTGCAAAAGTCCAGAGTCTTACAACTGCATAACCGAACTGATCATTGATTTGTGCGGTATTTGTATCCTTCAACGATCAAAGAAACTTCACGTCGGTACCGAATATGTTTCGGTTCCGTGTGTCTTGAAACTGCTTGTGGTAAACTACGTTACTATGGTATTCTCATTTGTCGGGCGACAGTTTGAATAGGAGAAGAAATCCGCCATACTTAATTCCTGACCATCAAGCATTAGACCTAAGGGTAGTAGTCAGTAGGCACAAATCACAGTCGCAAATCAAGTATGTGATCCCACTAGCACTCGTGAAAGGGAATCTCCCGTCGCGGAGGAGCAAGAAAATGATCACAGAAGTAGCGATTTATTTATTAGGAGCAATCAACGGCATTAAATAAGATGTGAGAAGCAATGTTATTGGTCAAACGAGCATCAACTAATAACCGTTCTTCTTCCTTGAATAACAGAGCTCCTATTGGAACATATAGCTGCTGACTGATCTACACTGTCGGTTCATAGTCTGATGTCTAGAAAATGGAACGGAGAGGCCTCATATGTGGCGTCATTTCGGAGGGTTGACTCACCATAATAAATGACAGCCAGTCTTGTAGTATTACTCGGTATTTGTATTCTAAAGCACTATACTTCAAAATCCCAATAAATATCAACATGTTATGAACCAATACTTGCTTTTCCGATATTTACTCTACGACGGTATTGAGCAGAGCTGATGAAATACACCCAACATACAGTGGTTTGCTGTTCCAACCAAATTCGCTTATAAATCAATCAGATTCAATGTGGTCTGTAGGTGACTAACATGTTGCACTGGGATAACCACGCAAGAAGCAAACCGGCTGAGCTGATCGCCAAATTACGCTCCTCAGCGATCAGGCCGTTTCTAGTTAAGACTCTATACACCGACTGCCGGTGCTTATCGGATGAAACAGTTGACGGCCATTTTCAGATCGAGCAATTACTTCTATTTCACAAGTTAGTCTGGCTTACCAGTTTTCTCGGTCATCCTTAGTGTTCTTCCTGAGTTGGTATTGTCAATAACGACAGATTACATCTTGTTCGTTGTGTACGCTCATTTTTTTAAGCTGCAGCTAATTTGGATGCGTTTATTGAGTTTGTCGGAAAATTCGTTTTTTTGGTGAATATTGACTGCAGTTTGCTAGTGCATGTGCATGAATGATGAATAGAAACCTTTTGATGTAGATTCGCTTTTGTACTCTGACTGAACCCTAATGCCGCATTGCTAAAAAATGACTATTGAAAAGAATCCACTCTATCAGTGAGAACTCAACTNATCTATCACGAATTCAACTCCACGCTAACTCAGTGACTAGCCTGTATCGTTTCTTGATGCGTAAAGAAAATGCCTCGAGGACAGATCAGATAAAAATATATCTAACCGGCGGTTGCTCAGCTTGCAAAAGACATTACGTCGCAGTCTG